TGTCACGGACAAAAACGAGAATCACGACAGCAACAACAGAAGTACCGGTCACAGCGTGCATGATTGACCGAGCCTGTGGCAAGCCGCTAGCAAGTTCCTGGCATGGTGACGACACTGACGATGCTGACGATGACTCTGGCGCAGGTGGTAATGATGGTGAGATGATGACGGTCATCATTATCAGCGCCACCATCATCATCATGAGGCAGGGGAGGAGGAGGAGGAGGAGGAGGGTGAGGAAGCAGTATGATGCTGATAGCGAATGACAATGATGGTCATGCTGATGCTCATGCTGATGCTCACGCTGACCATGCTGATGGTGATGATGCTTCAGATGTTGGGTTTGATCGCGATCACCGTTGCCACAAGGTCTGCTGGCCGCGGGGTCAGCCTGACGGGCTTGACCTCAGCGTCTTGCGCACGGTGATCAAGTCCAACGGGGTCATGCTCTTCAGCCGCACGCTGCGTCTATCCAAGCGCTTCGGCGACAGCACGGACTTTGTGGAAGGCCGAGCGAGGGGTCTGGGTTAATGAGGTTAGAAATATTTTGGCTTAGGCTGCAGGGGCTCTCAGGTGGCGAGGCTGTGGGGTTGTCGCGCTGGGGGCCTTGGGGGCTTGTGGTTTTAACTACGAGTTGAAATAAAAGTCACTTCTGCTGATTCCCGCTTTCAATCCGCCCAGGCAAGAATTGCTGAGACAGTTTTTTGTCAAAGCACCCCCTGCCCTCGTTGGGGGAGAGCTCCCTGAGCAAGGCAACATCAACAAAGCCCACCAGACCATGCGAAGCTACTTCGGTGTCAACGCCGCACCGGGTGAGAGCGCATCGGGCATCGCCTCCATGCAGCGTTCGAGCCTCCTCCAGGCTAACCAGAGCGCGAAAGCCAAGGAGGAGCTGGAGGAAGCTGTGTGGCAGACGCAACTCGGTTTCATTTTTGGGTGAAGGATTTAGGGGTTACAACTGCGAGATCCAGACCTCGACCTTCGCCTCTAAGCTCCAGCAAGAGCCTATGAGACCTTTAAGGCAGGATATTGACACTAATAAACGAAGCCCAAGCCCTGTGAGCCCAGTTAAGCCCAGAGCTCGGAGCTTCCAGGCAGGATGACCTCTACTTCGCATCCATCGAGTACGGGAAGGATACCCGTGATATAGACCCCAGGCACTAGAAAAACCCTACGTACCCCAAGGAAGCCCCGCCTCAGTCCTACAGTGCACGAGTCCTCAAATGCTTAGCCCCCAAACAAGGAAGCCGACCTCTCAGCTTTCAGACCCTTGCACAGGCCAAACCCCCGAAACCCACGACGCGAAGCACCCAACCCGGAGAATCTCAAGCCTCAGCTCGACAGCCCGAAACACTGAAGCCTCAAACCCCAACCACCCTAAACCCTTATACACTCAAGCCCTAAAGCTTTAAAAAGGTTCAGGGGGTTGGGGTTTAGGGCTAATTCCCCCCCTTCTGCCCTGCTCTGCTGAAGAGGATCTGGGCGTGAACATCACTTCCGAGCTCGGGGGCCACGCGGCCCAGGAACAGCTCGAGGCCCGACCTTTGGATCAGGGCTGTCCTTTTGTTTCACTAAAAGAATGTGGGCATGAATAGTTGGAGTAGGGCCTTGTGCGTAAACGATAGTATAGGTATAAAGAGGCCTTAGAAGATGCTTTCCTTGAAGGGTTCTATCAAAGTCTTGCGTCGGGAGGGAAGGGAGTTGGTGTTGAATTTCGGGTGTAGGTTTTGTTTTCTTTGCGTTTGTTGAAGGGTTGTTTCAGGTCTTCAAGGTCTTAAGCTGCAAGGTCGTGTTGAGGGTCCGGGTGGTGATGGTTGTGGGGCCGAGGGTTTCCCGGTCGAAGGATTTTGCTTGTTGGGCTTGCTTGGCCATGAATAGCGAAGCCCATGTTTTGTCCAACATAGTTGAGCTTTCTGTAACGATCCTTCTGTTGCCTGTGAACAAGCCTGAAATCCGAAGCCTATCAAACTTGAGCGCAAATCCCCAAGCCTCAAACCCAAAACCCTAAAACGCCCTTAAACCACAAACCCTTCAAAAACCTAACCTTTTGGCTTCAGGCGCTTCTTGCCCAGAAGGAGAAGAAGGAGGAAGCCGAAGACAATGAGGAAGCCGAAGAGAAGGCGGAAGTCGAAGAGACCTTCAAGCTTTTCAGCTTCAAGAACCCCGGGGTGATCAACTTCGAGGCAGAGCGAAGTTTCTCGAAAAAAGGGTTCAGGGGTTTCGGGCGTTCAGGGTTTAGAGGGCTAAG